ATATTCAATGCATGGCCGTTAAAGTGTCTTGTCGTAATATTTCAATTGTACTCATAGTTACTCACGTTTCATTCGAGATTACTATCAGAATTACTGAAATGAAAGAATACTATTCTAAAATAACATAAAATACGTGATAAACTGCCAACTATAAATAAATTGGAGTCGTATTTTTGCGATATTGGAATTTGTCAAACTTGATTTGTTCTTTTGCACTTGAGATTATAATTAAGCAAGATATCGCCGTTCAAAAACTCACAAGATCTGGGCAAAATACGAACGAATAAAATTTATTTTAGTGCATGCGGCTCCGTCGGTAGAATAAAAAAAGATAAATCGCGCACACAATTGACTGTGTTTCGATTTCGCAGTTACTATACGATGAATAACCGAAGAAAACCTAACATAACACCAAATTTTGTGATTTACAATGCCTATAAAAGCGTTTTCAATCTGACGTGAGTCTGCTAAAACCAAACATATAGTGTGATCTTTTATTTTAAGTTTTAATATTTTAGAATGCCGTTTTTCAATCAAGAAATTTGGGTTGCGGATTTACCTTTTATTATTTATTATTTTTAGCATTTCGTCTCCGGTGACTATAATATGGTTATTATGGTAACATGTTTTTCACATTGAACTCATAATTCCCCACGAGAACAAAAAAGCAATACTCGTCGTCATTGTGGAACAATACATGTATATGCCAAAGAAAATTTTTGATTTAGGGAGAATAAACACCGGCGTAAAGATGTTTAAAAACATGCCATGCTGACGAAAACTATCGGTGATTGTGACAAAATGCAATCGCGCACGTTATTAGCGGCCTTCCGAAAATGTCAAAAGAGAAAAGATTCGACCCCTAGTTTAATATGTTTGTCAAGTGTCAAATTTACAGCTTTAGTAAGAGTATATATAATTTATCTTTGAAATTGAGATTTATTTATGACTTGCATTAACCCTATTAAAAAAGGTTCAGCATTTAAATTAAGTAAAGTACGTTTAACTTGCTCAGGAATATTAATCTGAAAGTAACAATTTTAACATTTATTTTGGGGCTCCGTGAATAATAGTCAACCTTTTCAAGGGCTCCGCAACACCAAAAGTTTGAGAACCCCTGGCATAGACCATAGGTTCTCAAAGTGCTCCGTACGGAGCCCCAGGGCTCCGTGAGAGAAACCCAGGGGCTCCGCAAGCTATTCGACTACTTTTTAAAATACTGAATTGACTAATTTTACTATTAGGATTACTGAAATGAAAGACTACTATTCTGAAATTACATAAAATACGCGAATAACTGCCAACTATACATAAATTGAAGTCGTATTTTTGCGATCTTGGGATTTGTCAAGCTTGGTTTTGTTCTTTCGCACTCACGAGCAAGATGTCGCCGTTTACAAAACAAGAGGTCGGGGCAAAATACGAAAGATGGAAATTTATTTCATTGCATGCGGCTCCGTCGGTAGTTTCAGAATGGAAAAATAGGTACATCGCGCGCACAATTGACTGTGTTTCGGTTTCGCAGTTACTACGACGAATAACCAAAGAAAACCCAACATAACACCAAATTTTTGATTCACAATGTCTATGAACGTGTTTTTAATCTGACGTGAGTCTGCTGAAACAAAACTTATGGTGTTATCTCCCATTTTAAGTTTTAGTTTTAATATTTCAGTATGCCGCTTTTCAATCGAGAAATTTGAGTTGCGGATTTCCCTTTTATTATTTATTATTTTTAGCATTTCGTCTCCGGTGACTATAATATGGTAACATGTTTTTCACATTGAACTCATAATTCCCCACGAGAACAAAAAAGCAATACTCGTCGTCATTGTGGAACAATACATCATACATGTATATGTCGAGGAAAATTTTTGATTTAGGGAGAATAAACACCGCCATGCTGACGAAAACAATCGGCGATCGTAACAAAATGCAATCGAGTACGTTATTAGCGGCCTTTTGAGTCTTTCAAAAATATCTAAAGGTAAAAGATCCGACCCCTAATTTATTAATATGTTTGTATCAAGTTTACATCTTTAGTATATATAATTCATCTTTTACATTTAGATTCATTTATGACTTGTATTAACCCTATTAAAAGAGGTTAAGCATTTAAAATAAGTACATTACTTTTGACTTACTCAGAAATATTATTCGGAAAGTAACAATTTTAACATTTATTTTGGGGCTCCGTGAATAATAGTCAACTTTTTCAAGGGCTCCGCAACACAAAAAGTTTGAGAACCCCTGAACTAGATGATATGAAGACCAATTAAATCAAAGCCAAGCCTTGAAAAATCAATGTATTGGTAGTTAAAATTATACATTGCATAAGATAATGCTCATCACTTACATCGCCTAGTAACAATATAGATTATTCATAATCAGTAAATCAGAAAGATATTAACAAAATAATAAGAGTCTTAAGTAAGGTTTGATACATGCAGTATCTAAATTAATTATTCCAAAAGAAAGTCGTAGGCTATGCTCACCTTAAATACAAGACCAATTTTCATATGCTCGAATATACAACAGCAGAGGCATAACCTAATAACTAAATTTAATACGAGAAAATGAATGTCAGTGTCAAACGAAGAACCAGAAAAAAAAATTGCCACAAAATACTGACCCACTTGAAAATGTTTATGATCCACGCTCTCTTCATTTTTAGGGAAATAGTGGAGGGATCACCTCGACTAAAATTTCCAATAAAATGACGAAGCTTATAAATATTTAAAGAAATTTATAACGGCACATTATCACTCACCACCAACGAAGTGCTGTCCGCAAACACAAGCGAAATGACTGATAAAATTGATTGATTGATTTGGACATCAAGCAGTCCTGTTAATAGATCGTATCCCCCTTGCTCGACGTTCCGGATCTTTTGGAAACTTATGGAATATAACTGACGATCCATTGTCTATACCAGGGGTCACCAAACTTTTTTGACCGCGGGCCGGGTATGACTCAAACTGTGTTAGAACGGGCCGGACAAATATTTTTGTCAATGCAATACAATAAATTCACAAAAGTTTGGAAATCCATTCAATTTATTCAACAATAAATATATATATTCTACATTTCTGAAGACTTGAATAATAAATTCTATCTCTATCGCAGAATATATAAGTGTAATGAGTATATTTTGATTTTCCCGAAAAAATCATACACAAAACATAAACAATGAACACACAGAAGATTGGGAAAATCGGGGAAACTGGAAAAACCTTTATAAAGGTTTAATAGATCAAGAACATCCTAGGAAAACAAATATACAAAAATTCTATATCTATTCAACTATCCTGAGATTAGATGCTAGCAAAACGTTGCTGTCATGAATTGGGAATGTTAAAAAATCCACTTTTTTGCGCCGAAAATATGTAGGCATCACGTCTGCTATGTACCGTTACGCCGCGTTAGAATACAGCTCATATAAACGATTAAGGACTGCCTGCGGTACCTTCAAATTCTTCGAAATTTTGACATAATTCAGATAAAATAAACAACGATTATCTGGTATTTGATTTTTTTCATTAGCCCATAAATTTCAAGTTATACGTAGTGCAAATTTTGATATTGTCTATGGACACCAATAAAATTTATGTGAACGTGTGTATTTCCTTCCTAACTTGATACTTACCAATTTTCTATGAAGTTTGTTTTATCAGAACATCTTTAATTATTACCCACAATAAACCACTGTCAAACTAACATGCACAACTCCAGCGTTTATTTGCGACGATAAAATTTTGAAATAGTCTCAATATTCCATAGATCTGACGCAGATCGAAAGATTAGAGATTGATATGTGTTCTTTTCTCATATTTATTACAGTTATTATCCAAAAAGTAATACAATCCTCATGGAAAAAATTGGCATGTCGGGCGTTACTAAAATTCCGATATCTTCGTTGTTTCTAGACCGTTTTTTATAAACTTGTCTTCTTAGTTTGACTCAGATCTATCCACTGGCGCAAGTTTTTATTTAACGGATGAAATTTAATTTGTTTGTAACATACCCACATAAATATCCGCATTTATGCAGTACAAAAGTTAGTACTGTTAGCGCAACATGCACATTCGACGTTCATTTCAGCACAAGAAACGTAAACAGTTTCGTCGAAAGCACGCGCCACAAGTATACGAGTCGCGGAAAACGTTTCGCACCGGTATATAATTTTATTCTATTTGTCACAGCTATTTCTAGACTAATTTTTCATTACTACTATTAAAACTACAACTCTTAAGGAGGCAAATTATGATTGACCTATTTGATTCATACTTAAATTTCCAAACACAACCAAAAACTAACGAATAGCATTCAAAATCGCAAAAACGAAGTACTGTTTACAACGAAGACTGAAAATCTGTCAAGGTGACAAAAGTGTCTGAGCCGATGCGAAAAGGCCTATTATTACGTCACTTTTTTGCATCTTGCTGATTGACCCTTAATATCAAATGAATATGGAAGATAATGCTCGGGAAAATTTCCCTTGGAAAAAATTTCGCCTTTTTTGCGTGTTATTGCGGGCCGGATAAAACTACGCCGGGGGCCGGATCCGGCCCGCGGGCCGTAGTTTGGTGATCCCTGGTCTATACGTACAGCCAAACGGCACAATACAAAATAACCAGTTTAACAGCCAAGCAAAACGGAAACGAATAACGCGACTTGCAACTGACAGGAGCGAGGTCTGGACTTTTTTTTTGCCGTCCAAAATGGCGGCGTAAACAAAGTCACGTGATCCGTGCAAGTCCTCCATAATGTAACATTGAAATAATTGACTCTGTGACTCCGATTTTTGTGGAAATAGGTTCATTATATCAAATATATAAGAAAAAAAATCAAAGGTTAACTAAACGATGCTCACACCGTGGCCGATCAGTATTTGTAGAATATTTGACAACGGTAACATGGCGGGTATAATTTCTGAAAAATGGGTACCTCTCAGTTGGAACTGTTTAGTAATTTTGCCAAGGTCGTGGTTTCTGGTTTGCCTGTAGTCTCCGCTGGTTGTTTAGATTTAGAACAGCGAAACTAAAATGGAGCTTGAGATTAAATGTGATAAGAACAATCGCATAGGTAGAGTTTTCCACCGACTCGACAGATTGAGAAAAGATAAAGATCGTTGTGATGTTTTAATCAAGGTTGGATCTGATGAAATCCTGGCTCACAAGAATGTGTTGTCTGCAAACTCGGATTATTTTGATAAGATGTTTGCGCATGACACGAAGGAAAATCAATCGGGAATATGTGAAATGAAAGAAGTTGATGCATTTTGTGTTAAAAAATGTGTTGACTACATGTATAGCTGTGAAATTGCAGCTCCATTCAAAAAACTTGGTGATTTATTGCATGTTGCCACATTATTGCAACTTGATGAAGTTTGTGGCGGAATTGTGGACCTTCTTGAAAAAAATCTGAGTCCAGTATCAGTATTTGAAACCAGAAAAGTTTCCGAAATGTTTAATCTGACAAGTCTTGAGGAAATATGCAAACAATTCATTTTGGATAAATTTCAAGAAATCTCAAAGGGAGATGATTTCTGTTTTCTTGGTAGAGGGGAAGTTGTAAAAATAATAAAAAATAAAAAACTGAAAGTTTCAGAGAATGTGAAGCTCAATGCTGTATTCAACTGGATTAAATTTGATTCCAAAAATCGTGAAGTGTATGCAGACGATATAATTGGATTGATTGATTTATCCAAACTGTCTCACCAAAGTTACCCCAGCCCACACTCGCTCAGCCCACACTCATCCTGACGTCAAGGGGTTAACCAACTATTTTACTGACTTTATAAACGTAATTACATAAAAACTTGGTGACTCTGACAATATAGAGACCATATCTGATATACACAACGCAAATACAATACCAAGCACGGCCCAGTTACCCCTCGCATGGCCTGACAAAAACGAGTGTGGGCCAGCGTCACACGAGTGTGGGCTAGCGTCACACGAGTGTGGGCTGGCATCCCACGAGTGTGGGCTAGCGTCACACGAGTGTGGGCTGACGTTCTGACAATGTTTCACCGTAAGTTAAGGCATCCTAACGTTCACAGATTACTAAATTACATATATCCATGTTTAACTCAGCGCCAGAACCTCTCAAAGTCCGGCAATTGATGGCACAAAATAGCCCACAATTGCCGGGAAAATAAATCGAAATCAGCTGAACAATGATATCTCTAATCACTGTTGCCAGATATATAGGTGGACAAGCATGAATTCACAGGAAGGTTTCACAACAAAAAAAAATTATATCTAAGCGAAATACCAAACCTATTCATTTCCATCAATAAGAATGAGATATGAACAAATCGAATCTGATTTGCACAAATACATCTTTTAAAATAAAGATTGAACAAGCAAATTCAAAAGCGAATTAAGTAACATTTACCCCAAAGAGTTACATTGTCTTGATGGCTTTGAAGTCTGATTTCGGCACTTCTAATACTTTGTACGCCATGAAATCGACTTATTACATTATATATCCAATTATCCAACAAATAACGAAAAATTTAAAAATTCTACCGGGGGGAAAGACTTTAAAATAAAAAAAGAATGTACCTATGTATAAAGATAATTCTATTTCCCGACAAATGGTATTTTATGACAAAATGCAACAGAGAATTGAAAACTTTTCTATTAATTTGTACATCACGACATTTGTTTAATATATTATATAGTGAATTATCTTACAAATACTAAAAAATAAAAAAAATTACCTGGGGGAAAGACTTTAAAATAAAACCGGAAATCTACCTATATCTGACGATAATCATAATTCCCGATAATAGTAATTTATGACAAAATGCAACAAGAATTGAAACTTTTCTATTTGTTTGTACATCACCCAATTTGCTTATTATATTATATAATGATTATCTCACAAATATCAAATATTGAAAAAATTCTACCGGGGGAAAGACTTTAAAATAAAACCCGGAATCTACCTATGTCTAACGATAATCACAATTCCCGGATAATTGGTATTTATGACAAAATGCAACAAGGATTGAAACTTTTCTATCAATTTGTAACATCACGAAATTTGCCTATTATATAAATAGTGAATCATCTTATAAATACTGAAAAAAAAAAAATTCTACCGGGGGAAAGACTTTAAAATAAAACCGGAATCTACTTATGTCTAACGATAATCTATTTCCCGATAATGGTATTTTATGACAAAATGCAACAAGGAATTGAAACTTTTCTATCAATTTGTACATCACGAAATTTGCTATTATATAATATAATTATCTTATAAATATGAAAAATAAAAAAATTCTACCGGGGGGAAAGACTTTAAAATAAAACCGGAATCTACCTATGTCTAACGATAATCATAATTCCCGATAATGGTATTTTATGACAAAATGCAACAAGGAATTGAAACTTTTCTATCAATTTGTACATCACGAAATTTGCCTATTATATAAATAGTGACTCATCTTATAAATACTAAAAATGAAAAAATTCTACCGGGGGGAAAGACTTTAAAATAAAACCGGAATCTACCTATGTCTAACGATAATCATATTTCCCGATAATGGTATTTTATGACAAAATGCAACAAGGAATTGAAACTTTTCTATTTTGTACATCACGAAATTTGCTTATTATATTATAATGAATTATCTTACAAATATCAAATATTGAAAAAATTCTACCGGGGGGAAAGACTTTAAAATAAAACCGGAATCTACCTATGTCTAACGATAATCATATTTCCCGATAATGGTATTTTATGACAAAATGCAACAAGGAATTGAAACTTTTCTATTTGTTTGTACATCACGAAATTTGCTTACTATATTATATAGTGAATTATCTTTCACATATTGAAAAATAAAAAAAATTCTACCGGGGGAAAGACTTTAAAATAAAACCGGAATCTATCTATGTCTAACGATAATCATATTTCCCGATAATTGTATTTTATGACAAAATGTAACAAGGAATTGAAACTTTTCTATTTGTTTGTACATCACCAAATTTGCTTATATTCTACCGGGGGGAAAGACTTTAAAATAAAACCGGAATCTACCTATGTCTAACGATAATCACAATTCCCGATAATGGTATTTTATGACAAAATGCAACAAGGAATTGAAACTTTTCTATCAATTTGTACATCACGAAATTTGCCTATTATATAAAATAGTGAATCATCTTATAAATACTGAAAAATAAAAAAAATTCTACCGGGGGAAAGACTTTCAAATAAAACCGAAATCTACTTATGTCCAACGATAATTCTATTTCCCGACAATGGTATTTTATTACAAAATGCAACAAGGAATTGAATCTTTTCTATCAATTTGTACATCACGAAATTTGCCTATTATATAAAATAGTAACTCATCTTATAAATACTGAAAAATAAAAAAATTCTACCGGGGGAAAGACTTTAAAATAAAACCGGAATCTACCTATGTCTAACGATAATCATAATTCCCGATAATGGTATTTTATGACAAAATGCAACAAGGAATTGAAACTTTTCTATCAATTTGTACATCACGAAATTTGCCTATCATATAGAATAGTGACTCATCTTATAAATACTAAAAAATAAAAAAATTCTACCGGGGGGAAAGACTTTAAAATAAAACCGGAATCTACCTATGTCTAACGATAATCATATTTCCCGATAATGGTATTTTATGACAAAATGCAACAAGGAATTGAAACTTTTCTATTTGTTTGTACATCACGAAATTTGCTTATTATATTATATAATGAATTATCTTACAAATATCAAATATTGAAAAAATTCTACCGGGGGGAAAGACTTTAAAATAAAACCGGAATCTACCTATGTCTAACGATAATCATAATTCCCGATAATGGTATTTATGACAAAATGCAACAAGGAATTAAAACTTTTCTATCAATTTGTACATCACGAAAATTGCTTATTATATTACATAGTGAATTATCTTACAAATATTGAAATATAAAAAAATTCTACCGGGGGAAAGACTTCAAAATAAAACCGGAATCTACCTATGTCTAACGATAATCACAATTCCCGATAATGGTATTTTATGACAAAATGCAACAAGGAATTGAAACTTTTCTATTTGTTTGTACATCACAAATTTGCTTATTATATATATGAATTATCTTACAAATATCAATATTGAAAAAATTCTACCGGGGGAAAGACTTTAAATAAAACCGGAATCTACCTATGTCTAACGATAATCACAATTCCCGATAATGGTATTTTATGACAAAATGCAACAAGGAATTGAAACTTTTCTATTTGTTTGTACATCACCAAATTTGCTTATATTCTACCGGGGGAAAGACTTTAAAATAAAACCGGAATCTACCTATGTCTAACGATAATCACAATTCCCGATAATGGTATTTTATGACAAAATGCAACAAGGAATTGAAACTTTTCTATCAATTTGTACATCACGAAATTTGCCTATTATATAAAATAGTGAATCATCTTATAAATACTGAAAAATAAAAAATTCTACCGGGGGGAAAGACTTTCAAATAAAACCGGAATCTACCTATGTCAACGATAATCTATTCCCGATAATGGTATTTTATGACAAAATGCAACAAGGAATTGAAACTTTTCTATCAATTTGTACATCACGAAATTTGCCTATTATATAAATAGTAACTCATCTTATAAATACTGAAAAATAAAAAAATTCTACCGGGGGAAAGACTTTAAAATAAAACCGGAATCTACCTATGTCTAACGATAATCATATTCCCGATAATGGTATTTTATGACAAAATGCAACAAGGAATTGAAACTTTTCTATTTGTTTGTACATCACGAAATTTGCTTATATATTATATATGAATTATCTTACAAATATCAAATATTGAAAAAATTCTACCGGGGGAAAGACTTTAAAATAAAACCGGAATCTACCTATGTCTAACGATAATCATATTCCCGATAATGGTATTTTATGACAAAATGCAACAAGGAATTGAAACTTTTCTATTTGTTTGTACATCACGAAATTTGCTTATTATATTATATAGTGAATTATCTTACAAATATCAAATATTGAAAAAATTCTACCGGGGGGAAAGACTTTAAAATAAAACCGGAATCTACCTATGTCTAACGATAATCTATTCCCGATAATGGTATTTTATGACAAAATGCAACAAGGAATTGAAACTTTTCTATCAATTTGTACATCACGAAATTTGCCTATTATATAATAGTGATCATCTTATAAATATAAAAATAAAAAATTCTACCGGGGGGAAAGACTTTAAAATAAAACCGGAATCTACCTATGTCTAACGATAATCTATTTCCCGATAATGGTATTTTATGACAAAATGCAACAAGGAATTGAAACTTTTATTTGTTTGTACATCACGAAATTTGCCTTATTATATATATGAATTATCTTAAATATCAAATATTGAAAAAATTCTACCGGGGGGAAAGACTTTAAAATAAAACCGGAATCTACCTATGTCTAACGATAATCATAATTCCCGATAATGGTATTTTATGACAAAATGCAACAAGGAATTGAAACTTTTCTATCAATTTGTACATCACGAAATTTGCTTATTATATTATAGTGAATTATCTTACAAATATTAAAATATAAAAAATTCTACCGGGGGAAAGACTTCAAAATAATACCGGAATCTACCTATGTCTAACGATAATCATATTTCCCGATAATGGTATTTTATGACAAAATGCAACAAGGAATTGAAACTTTTCTATTTGTTTGTACATCACCAAA